GTCTCTCTCTTGCTCGCACGATACGGCACCCGGTTGCTGCACAGGTTTTATACAGAGTGTAGTAGAACGTATGGAAGATAGCACAGAGAGTTCTAGCAGCGCGTGTAGACGAGTCTGAATTTCTGTAGCCTACATAGCAGGTTGCACGCAACTCCTGAGGGAGCACAGATTGAAACGGGGACTTGGGGGTAGCGGCTGTTGAACACGGGGATGTTCGGCTAGGGTTGCGAGTTATGAATTAACTGTCACCGCCTCTTTGATTTGTGGTGGCTTTCTCTCCTTGCTCTCTTTCTATCTCTCTCCTACTTCTACCCTCCCGGCAATTCCCTCTCCCTCGTCCTCGTTCGATCCTAGGCTGACTTTTTACATTCGAGCACATTTTTATCCTCTTTTCTTTTTTTTTTTTTAAGCGAATTGACCCACTTTGATCGATAGAGATGTATTCCCAGGTTCCCATTGCGACTCGAAGGTGTCCTGCGTATTTTTGATTGCCTTTTTATTCTATGGCCTGCATCACGTACTGTGGGTATACGTTGATAGGAGTGTCGATCCAAGTAAAATCCCCTATTACCATCCCCCTTCGTCTGTCTCGGAAAATCGTATAGAGGTAAAATAGGGATTTACTGAATAATTCTACAGGCGCCCATTTGTTACGCGTCCTAATCCTCTTATCCAGGCTATTAACGATTTCACCGAATTCCTCGGTAGTCCTTGTGTACACTCCAGGAGACGTTTCTCAACGTGTCTAGCTTGTCTGCCTATATACACTCTCTGCGATGCATTATTATACACTTACTATAGGGAGGATAACAGGGTTTCTTAGCGATTAATAACGTAGTAACTCTTAGCTTATTAACGACTCGAGTTCAAGTTTGAACTTTAACAAATGAAACTCATCGTCGAGGTTGCTCTAGGAGTTTCTTACGGCATCGATGCTTTCTCCCCCTTAGCTGCTTTTAATCAATTCGTTTAAGTATCCCTGAAGTTCTACGTCCTGTCGATAAGTGCCTCGATGACTCTGTATGTATCCGTATAGTTAAGTTACGCTTGGTCCGAGAGGACTCTTTGTCATTTTCTTCGAAAATATTCTGGCTGACTGTCCTGCGGTCGATCCGATTGGCCGGAGAGTAACGGGCCAATTGGAGCTCAGAAGCCTGCGGGCAAATTGTGGCAAATTGGCGATAAGGTTGCCTCGACTCTGACGACGAGACAATACGTTGCCGCGAGTTATACTCGAGAGAGAGAAAGAGAGAGAGAAGGAGAAGGAGAATACAGAACGGAGAAAGGACTTGTGCACTAATTGAAATATTGTCTTCAAAGTTGCGCCGGTAGACGGGGCATTTGTTTCGCAATAAACAGGGGTCTAAGACAGTTTGCCAGGCGGCTTGTTTCTAACACGCTGCCTCGAGACACGGGAGTCGGCAAGCTATAGATAATGGGTTGGAGGGTAAAACTGAGAGAGACTTTAGATGGTTGAGAGAGGAAGAGAGAGGGAGACACCAAGAGGAGGATGGGTACCTCCTTCATTCGTCATCTTGCTGTAACGTTAATTCACCGGCACGGCGTGAATCAGCTGAGCATGCTGGATAATTTGTAGGTTGACCCTACTGATCTAAAATGGACGTCTTTTCAACGGGACTACTTGTTAAGAGGGTAGCAGAGGGTATTCTACGGGGGGTTAGGGTATACATATACCTTAACGATTGATAGCCTGACATTCGTAATGGCTAACGGCTCGAGACTCTTTGGCTTCTTTTCAGAATAAAGGGACTGTGAATGCTGGAGCTGATGAAACTTTTTCACGCGAAAGAATTATTATTCTCGGTGGGAAGTGCCGGCATAAGCGAAGGAGCACCCGTTGCCTCTTCGGTCTCAGGAGAGAAAAAAAAAAGAAATGGAGCATTATAAAATTACAAACATTTATTTGTGGAAAATTCTAAGTGAAGAAGCCGAGAGCTCGACTGCTACCGGCTTAGAAAAATGGTTATTCGACTTCTTGATAGCACCCATACGCCTCCCTTGCCTCTATACCGTCTTCGTGCTATCAGATTCATGCAATTTCTAGGTAGCGTACACTGATCTGCCAGATTTAAATGTCTTCTTTTTTATATTTTACTCTTCGTAGAAAAGAATTATAATGGGGGTACGTAAAATTTGTAAAGTGAAGAATCAATATTAGAGGTACAGAGAGAAAAGCGGTTTTAGTCTTGTTAGAAAGTTAGCCGAAAGGTAGTATGGCACGGGGAAATAATGTATGGCTGGAGGGTTTGGTCTCGACAAAATTACTATTTGGTAAGGTGCGGGGGGGGGGCAGACGGCGAATGGCGTGGAGGGACGTAGTCGGGGGGTGTAATTGCACGCGGAGAAATGGCTCCACATACCAAGGAGGAGAGGGAGAGAGAGAGAGAGAGAGAGAAGATTTATCAACAGCTCATTCCGCACTAACTAGACACAGGTTATGTAGGAACTCGAAAGATATTACATCAGCGACGCGATGATAGGGCACGCTGCATTAAATTGCATCCGGCCGTTGCTAGAATTTAACCCCCATTACATCCCACGAGCTATGCACTATCGTGGGAGCCGTGCCCTAGGCGCCATCCGAAAACTCACCGTTGTTTGATTAACCCAGTGAAATCGATTTTGAAAATTGATCCCGCCCCCAGGAGCGCATCTCACCAAGTAGTCCACCGACTGGAACTACCCTTTAACATCTTCAACCTCTGGAAGATGCTTCCCTTGCGAACTATACGGAGGAACAGTGAAGAGTGGGAACCGCTAGGGACAAAGGGTGGTATATCTTGGAATTGGGGGATGATAGGGCTGGGTCAAAGAAAGTGAGCTTATCAATCAAGCGATCAAGCACGCGAGGATGAGTCGAGTGCGAGATAAAATTCATTAGGTTGCTTTTAGGCGTACACGACGTACTTAGAACGAAGAGAGGCTGAGGAAGGATGAGTGCATCTTGGTAAGGCTAGTTTTCACGGGAAGTGTGCTGTAAGGGGTTAATTTAGCTATTTGACGGTTTTGATCAGAGCAAGTATCCTCGAGGCAGAAGTATGGCCCTACAACTCTTCTAGACAATTTTAACTCTTCTCTACGTATTTCTTTCGTCCTTAATTTATCATGAGTCATGAGTCTCTCTCTCTCCTCTCTCTCTCTCTCTCTCTCTCTCTCTCTCTCTCTCTCTCTCTCTCTCTCTCTTTCTTTCTGTCTGTCTACTCTCGCTACCTCAACCTTGATCCGACTTCTATCCAGCATCTATCCATAACTCTCCCTCAAGCTCCACAGCATCGTCCCTCTTGTACGCTTCTCGACCTTACTCTTCTTTGCAAACGTTCATGCGATCGCCTTGTCATCTCCGTGTAAGAACTTGTACACCCTGAGACAGACGGGATGAGCGAGCTCCTATCATTCACATTTACATTGGACATTAATTAAGCCGATATTCATAATTTTTCATTGTCAAAAGTTTACCTATTCCTTTGTATATTCATGATTACCAACTGTATCTCAGTCAAAACTTTCTCCAGCCGACTATGTACATAGAATCGTGATTTTACTTGATTTCCCATATACCTTCTAGCGTCGAAACGATATTCAGTTATCCAGCTGTACGTTAGCCTGATGGCGGGTTCCCATTTTGGAGACGGCACGCGATGCACTAATTTGTATTTAAAGGTTTATTGGACGGACCCGTAGCCGTACGACAATTTCACGCTTCACAAGAACCCACCCTACACTCGATTCCTACTTCCTCACCCTTTCCAACCTATACTATACCTATATTATATAGAAGCCCATAGTCATAGATGCCAGGTTCTGGATACCCAGGCTCTCCCGTCTATACCTAGTGCCTACCTATGGGTTCCCTACTTTTTCATCAATTCCCGTGGTGGTGCCCACCCCTTGCGCTATAACAAAATCAATGGTGCGATTTTATCCCATCGTATCGGCCGAACGAACTTCTCGGCCTTTTTCCTTCATAAAACTTCGTGGGACTTTCTTCGTTTTCCTTTTTTCTCTTTCGATAGACACGCACCTGCCTCTGCTAGCAGGGAGAGGCACGGCGTCCTGCTTTGGAACCTTTAGGAATAAGGAAAATGACAATGGGAAATTATTTTTCTTCCTCTCTTCCCATTCTCGACTTAGACGTTCCCCTCTTTTGGGATCAAAAGAACGATATTGCCAGGCACCTCTATCACCTAAACATGATCCTCTCCTCCTCCTCCTCGCGGCTTACAAAGGACGCCGTGGATTCAGGGATTTTTCATCTCGCGTATATTTCTTATTCAGCCTCTGCTAATTCGTACTCCGAACCACTTCCCTCTGTTAGATTGCCCTCCCTTCGCCTTGGCTCACTCCGCTACAGCTAATGGTACCACCCCATTCTTGTTCAGCCCGCCGTCTTTTTTACCTAGCCACACTTTGTTTCTCTTGGATGCAATTTTAATCTCGAATTCCAAGAAAATTACCTCCCCGTCAGACCCCCTTAAGCGGCTACTAGGTGAGATTGCTTCTGCTGGCTGTCAGGCCACTTGATGTATAACGGAAATGTTCAACTTTCTGCAAAAATACTTTTCTCACGGGCAGCATAGAAATTTGCTTCTTATCTTAGGTATACTTTGAGAACGCGTTTAACTCACCTGCTCGTGTACTGAATGGGACACGTGGGTCCACTGAGAATCCAAGTATGTCCTTATGGTCCGGGTTGGTATACAAAGGCAGACGGTAATGCATGCACGGGTACTTCTTGCCGGAAGTGGAAACTGGCATTTTTTTGGATATTTTACTTTTCTGGGAGAAAGTATTGGGATTTACCAGGATTGCTGTAATTTGGGCGAGAGCGATCGCTCGGCTTAGCATGTAAACGTGAAATTAGAAGTTTAACAGTGAAACCCGGTGGCCCCTCTTCTCAATTCACCCTTATAATATATTTACATTCGCGAAGCGGTAGGATCACCATTAAGGTCCTGAATAAATTGTTACTTCCTTGGATAACGGTAATCGCATCTTTTTATTGATATACAAGATATACATCGCTTGGTAGCGTCGGCGACATGGCTACGTACACAAAGTGATAGGCGCGTCTCATTTCTGACAATGAGATTCGATTTGTTTTTTTTTTAAATCTTTTTTCTCCCTTTCTTTTTTCTTTTTTTTTTGAATGAAAGCCTGATATCATCAGAATCGTGTCGATGAACTTCTTTCCAGATCAGCGAGTCGCGCTGGACTACGAGCACACGCTTCTGTCGTCAGCCTGACAGACTCCTTCTGGCCTGGCGAGAAAGAGCTTTCCGTTTGCGCATGCGCACAGCTGATAGACCGTTATCTCATGGGATGATTGATGCGATCTTGAATGCTGCTCAGAGCCAGTATGACTCTGTCTTGGACTGGCGGTTCTCAGACCTTTCAGGAAGACGGACTTGGCGTCGATTCTCACGGCGCCTGCGACGCTCTGCAACATCATGTCCCTCAGACAGGATGCTGTGATCTCACCTGCCCAGGATTCGATCACGATCCTCTGTGGCGCTCTGACCTCCAGATCTCTCGTTGAGGATTCTAATCTGAAATTAAGAAAAAAAGTCATTAAAAACAATGTTATATATTCCAGTGTTAAGTCTGCGTTATTCGATATTATAGTCGGTAGCAGCTGTGAATTATCGTTGAAATGCAAAAATCCGTAGTTATCGCGTACAGTTGGAATGTAAAATTTTTTATATAAAATTTCCTTAAGGGTTTTGTATAAATTAAAAATAAAGGTCTGACCTCGATAACTCGACCTGTCTGCGTCATAGTAATCCATTCTATCCGGTATAGGCACCTTATTCCATCGATACTACAGCTATATCGGTACTGGTACTGCTCGTACTAGTACTATCCCAGTACGTTTACTACAGTAACACCGTTTCTCCTCACGCGCGATATTTCATATCTGGCGCAAATCCAATCCTATGAATATAATTTTCCGCGCGAGCAAAGTTTTATTGTAATCGTAAATCCGTCTGTAAATTGGCTCGCGCTATCAATAACTGCGGTCCGTTTCCTACTATTCCTTTTCCGCCTTGCTCCCTTGTAATATGGAATGGCTTTTCGAGAAGGAGGAATCGAGGATTGACTTAAAGATTTTCTGATCGAGAGTTCTTCGATCCCACTGTCGTATTTTTGCCCGGAAGAATTGAATGGCCGACGATAGAGATATTTTTTAGAGGATCACTCATGCTTGTATTATTATCCTGCACTTCTCTTTTATATACAAATCTTATTTACTTGAGTCCGTGACCAGATTCCGCCCTGACCACTGGCGTCTGGACACTTCCTTGGAAGACAGCACCACCGACACCTGTTACGCGCAGCACCTTCGCCCCTACGACAACCTGATCCTCGTCCGCAGAGAACAGGGTATTACCACTAGGATCTGTTATGTGAAAACCCTTGGAAATGCAGTCGAGTTTATCTTCAGCTGTAATAAAAAAAAAGTATCGTATAAAATTAATCGTAATATATCGATAATCGATAGGAATATTTATTACTAAATTACCTAGAGTGAATCTGGCCAGAAGACGACCATCGTGCGCCCTGGCTGAGGCTGTGAAATTGCTCCATGATTCCAAAATCAAATTTCTTCCTCTACGGGATCGTACGGACGATGCCACCAGAGCGTCCAAGACTGCGGCCTGTCCTCTTAATTCCACACCTCCTGGTACTACCCGTAACGAGCCGATACCCTCCTGAAAAAATTAAAGACAAATAACTATCTTGAATTTGTAAAGTAAGAGGATTTCAAGAGCGAGAGAGGGGGAGAGGGAGAGAGAGAGAGAGACCCTGAGATGGGGGTATTTCGCAGGATTTTATGACTCTCTCCTCCCCTCCTCTTCCATCCCAGCTTCCATCCCCACGCGACTAACAGAATGTCTGAAAAGTTTTCGTCGAGAAGTTCGTTCAGACTTTCTGACACGGAGAGTTTCTAAGCTTTGTAATACCAGTGACAATGCAGATATAACTGGTAAAAAGAAATATTTTAGTCCTAAGAAAGAGTATATGAGGCTAATAGTAGTCGAGAGTATACGTGTTTTTGAATTCGAGAAAATTTTGCGGTACATAGGATAGCTTTTATCTCAAGAGAAGGGAGAGAAAGAGAGAGAGAGAGAGAGAGAGAGAGAGAGAGAGAGAGAGAGAGAGAGAGAGAGAGAGAGAGAGAGAGAGAGAGAGAGAGAGAAAGGGGGGTTAGGGGAGATGTTGTGTTGTCTATATTGGTTTCCGATGATTGGTCACTCGATCGGAAGCAATTGCCACCACACACGAGTACACTGGTAGACTAGCAATGGATGAAGTTACATTATACCTAGAGTTGGGATTTCTGGAAGCTGGTAATACGCCAGGAAAACTGGAAACTGTTAAAGTCCAGGTTGTATTTTCTCTTTGCTGTTACTCGCGACCCTTACACCATTTTTAACCGTTGAAAATCGTAATAGGGGGATGATACTGTGGGGATGCTATCGGTAAATACATTGTGGAATAGTTGAACGTTAGTATCGGGCCACTCGATTAGCCAAATCGTTTAGAAAATTATATCCTCTCTTCCTTCTACTTAACGTTGCCATAAAGTTAATGGACTTGCTCCTAGAATTGCAGCTACGGTTAGCTTCCACTGCCTTCTGTATATTAAGTATTAGACTAGACGACAAATACAGTTTTTTCACTTTGACAACATTTTTAAGGTATATAATAGCGCCCTTGTAAATTGAAACTTTGTCTTGGGTAGTACGTTAAAATTTTGTTTCAAAGACTATAGGATTAATGATAATAAATTATATTTGACAGGTAGTTGATGAAATTTCAATAATGGAAAAATATATACACACATGTATAAGGATCAGTAGGGTGATGTTGGTTGATTATACATCAATATATGAATCTCATTATTTAAATGGGTTAAATTACGATTTCACACAGCGATCAACGACAGTTTGAGCAGTTGGCTTGAATAATTTTTTTTTCATCCCCTATTTTCCTTTTCGCATTATTATTTTGACCTTTTTCAATGAGTGAATCCGTAACCAATAAATTTACCGAGACTATGCAGCTTTTCGATTTATTCCGATGTATTTATCGATATCCGGAATTTCGGGCTGATCATGCGTCGCGACGCCTAAACGCCGATAGGACGTAAATGAATTTTCATTCGGGGGAAAAATATCGTGTGGGTAGAATTTGAATGATTTGAACTCGTTACATTACCTGTCTATGATATTACTGTGAAATGACGTGGTGCGTATAAGTTAAATCCCTTGAAAGTGCAGGACCCACGTTAACACTGCTGGGTTTAATCCTAGTCTCCTGATAAAATAAAAGTACTTTGGCAATACGATAATAATGCACGGATACGAGGCTGGATTATTACCGCATACAAGTCCGGCGAATTTCTGCATTCGGCGGGAAATAATAATTACGCGTATACCGAAGTTCATTAGCCCAGCTATTAATGCTGCACGATAATTAATCTCGTCGAACGTCACGTACGTGTAGTGATAAAATAAAATAAAATAAATACGTTAAAAAATTGTTTTAAACGAAAAGTAAGAAAAATTCTTTGTATCCATAAGTATGTAGAAAAGCAATTTTTAAAAATAAGGTTATCAGTTCATTTTTGTAATGTGGGTAAAATAAAGAATATAGCCAACTGATAAAAAGTTAAAGATTTGAGGGATGGGAGCGCTCTCGATTATTTGAAGAATTATTTATTATCTGTACAATATTTTTATATATATATATGTATATATAAACGACTGAAGGTCTTTGAGACGAGAAGCCTTGCGGGCATCATTAATGTACCTTCTCCTGCACTTCTTTTATGATATTCCGTTTACCCTCTGTCCCTCTCAGCTTCTTGTACTGGAGTTCATACCCCTTATCATCCATCACCCGCGCAGCCTCTTGCCATGAAATTCTCCTCGTTTCGTCGTCATTTACCATCCACTGCCTAAGAACCTTTAATATAATAATTTATTATACTCCTGGTCATCTAATTAATTTCTGTATCCAGACACCAAAGGCCATTACGAAAAAATCAGTTGTACGTTTATCCAAGGTTTACAAACACCTCTATTCCACACATCCCTCAAGTATCTTATCATCTCCCATATATGTACATATGCAGTTACCTCCCAAAATTGAACGCGCCCTCATAAAATAATGTTTCATTATGAAATTTTTATCCTGTAATCCTTTGACTGAAAAAAATCTGAATTTGATAAATATATCATTTTCGTAACCAATAATTATTTATTAATGTTAATCTACAGGGAAATATAAGTTTTATACGAGTGTAATACCGCTCAATATTAGTAGTGACTTTATATTGGCTCAACCCCACATAACCTAGTGTTTCATATATCTGACTAGGATTATCCTCTGTTTCCAGATGAGGAGTAGGGTTGTACCCTGTGTCCACTTAAAATTCATGCTTCCGTTTCTACTATATTGGACTGCAACGCTGTGCTCTATAATGGATATGCTTTAGTACTGGCAATATAGGCTGGATAATCTATAGATAGTGTGCTGGATGGAGGATGCACCCTCTAGCAGAGGGTAGTTATGTGGATCCGGATGGTGCACGGTATTAGGTAACCCGGGTATCCGTTCCCTATGAACATACGTGTAAGCCGTTAGTGCCAATATACCATGCTGTCCACCGTAACGCTTCGGGTTATTTCCTTATAACCAAAGCGTCTCTTAAGTACCTATGGATTTTCTTTACACGCTTTTAGAAGTCATTCGAGGCGTCAATGCATAATGGGATATGTAAGATATGGGAGGTAATCTACATGGGTTATACGCGTGACACGTATGGGTTTTGTTGAAATATTAGAATCTGGTGGTCGGATGATATGAACTTTAACAAATTTTTTTATCATCAAGGGTGCTCACCAGGTGCCGTTGCTAGTAGGAGGAATAGGGTGCTCACCAGGGTCGAGAGTGCAAGTTTTGATTCGTAGAAGGGATCGATTGGAGTGGTTCTCGATCGGCGGCCTAATTAGACTCCCCGTAGGAATCAGTCCCGGAAGACCGGCAGAAATTCAATTCCCGGCAAACAGGCGTGAGTGAGGATCAAGGGTGGAAGAGGACGGCCGTGGAGGTGTTCAAAGGGAGAACCTGTTAAAGTCGGAGAGCGCGAGAAGAGATAACCTCGAAGACTGGCAGAGAATTCGAAAACGGCATTGTTAATTGATATTACAAGGTCCTCGTTTTAAGATCCCCTCAATTAATTTCATCCCTTAACACTCTGTCGTCGACTTGACGCAACTTTTTTTTTAACGTCCAAGACACTTCTCCTCGGTATATTTTAATGGTCGTTTTTAAGTTTGAGACAAATTTTTGGATACCTAATTTCATTTTTTTTAAAAGAGTGATAAACGACAACAGCGTATCATGATGTGTTGTATACGATCGTAATAGGTGATACTGGGTTGAAACAATATGGTATTTACTCAAGTAAACGGGAGGGTTCTGAGAAACGTAGCGAGAGACTGAGGAATGAGGTAAAATAAGAATAGAAGTCCGTCATTTCCCACGGGATATTTTCTTCCATCCGAGTCACACCAGACTTCTCGCTTACAGATTGATACTCAATTTCCATCGAATTTAGACCCCATCGTAGGATCATCGCGAAAGATCGGGTGAATCTCAGTAGGTAAACTGGATAATGGCCAGCCAAATATATCCCGGCACGATTTTATGCCGTCTCGTATCAGACAGGTATACATATATATTTGTGTAGTTACGTAAAAGATTTTTCAATTTGTACGAGGGTCGAACTTATTTAAAAATTTTGATTTTGATACGTATGCTTTCATCATCGAGTAAAAACGAGGACCCCGAAAAATTGATGTAAACACGTAGAAAGTGAATTGTGTAAAGAAAGGAAAAGACTTTGGTAGCGATCCCGGGAATTATGAGTGAATTGTAATAAGCATTTGTTCCACCTTAAATTAGCACACCCCCATCCCTCCAAGAAGTAATGTTTGGGGTAAGGTGAGAAAACGGGGGTGTAGAGACTGGCGAAGGGGGTAGGATCGCTGAACTGAACTCTCGCGAAACTAATTTTAAGCCGCAAGACAGAAGTCGACTTTAATGGCTGTCCAAAAGTTACAAAGCGTTTTCACCTAGCGGCGCGTTTACCGTAAGCTACGAGATCCGCACCCTTATCAGCAGCTAATCGGAAAGCAATCGAATTATCATGGCGTAACGTTACCGATAATTGAATCTACCACTTAGGCAAATTACCATTAATATTTCGTCCCGATCAACCGGAAGACACTGCGCGTTTGGTATTAAGGAGGACGCGTATGTCTAGTCGTGCAACTCACTCAAGACACTCGTCAACGGTTGCGGAAGGGCTGTCCGTATTTTCACATCAAAGTGTTCTTCGGCATGGAATAAGCCGAGCTTGAAAACTCCTATAAGAGGACTCTTGAAAACAGAGCACAGAAGGAGGAATCCCAGAGAAATGACTGAATGAAGAAAGAATGTAACGAGAGGGGGATGGGTGGGAGGGAGGAGGAGAAAAAATGACATTCCTATCCCACACTAGGAAGCATTAGCAACCTCTCAGTACTAAGAGGCAATATCAGTGTAGCTCATGATCTTTTGACTCGGGCCACCAGTACCAAAAGTACCGGAAATAACTTGTTAAACGTGGAATCTAGCCAGAAGTCCGAGGGGTGACTCACTCGGGAAAATAAGTTTTTCCCTCCGCGGCCAAGAATTTTCTCACTCGCTGTGCTCTCCCAGAAAATCTTTTAGGGGCGTTTCTCTCCCCTCTGCCTCCACCCAATCCCCCATTCCCTGTAGCCCACCTGACGTAATCTCTAAAACGTCTCGCGAAAATGACACGGACTCAGGTCGCAGGAGGCTTGCTCGTTCCCTCACCTCAGCCCCATGAGGCACAGGAAGGAAGTTTACCCAGCCTGGTAAAATAACGTTTCTATGAGTTCCAACTTTTCCGTGATTTATTTAAGCGCGAGGCACCAGAGAGCTCAATCTCGAGCTTCGGCGAATCCTGCTCCTGGGCATTAAGGTACTTCAGGACGGAGTAGGTTCACTCTCGCCGAGATAAATAAAGAGACAAATGTAGTACGGGACTTTGTGGCGGAAGCCAAGGTCTAATGAGGTTTGGTTGGGTTTGATTCGTGTACTCAATCTGAAGGTAAGTCTTACCGAACTGAACTCCATGACCTTGAGGAGCCAGAGCGTAAGGGCGAGATTAAGAATGACCATGACCATGAGTCCCAGGACGAGGGAGTAGAGGCATCTTTTCCGCCAGCCGTAAACTCCTAACCTGAACCCGTTGCAGGAAGGCGATTCGTTGTTGGGTGGATTGCTCCTGGAGGATGGTCCAGGATTCTGATGTGGAGTACTCTGCCTTGGTATACTGTTTGAATTACCAGCATCGTCCGACCAGTTGCTCTGTCCACGTGGCATTCTGTGAAAGCACAAAGATCCACAAATTATAAAATTGGTTAGCGATGGGGGGGACAGGGGAGACAGACAATTTAGAAGTGAGCTTTTCGACGCGCGAAAAGTATTTGCAAATTAGCGGGGAGTAATCAGTGTTAATCCAGCGGGGTGGCAGGTTACGAAATAGTAGCTAGTTAACGCGGGCTGCGAGCGCGATGGAAAACTTATGCAAAGCTGCCCACAAAATGCCCGGCATAACTTTCCTCCTAATCCCTGGCCATAGCCAGAAGCTCTCTCGTTCTCATTTACTTTCCTTCTCTCTCTCTCTCTCTCTCTATATATATATATATATAAATATATATATACCTGTTTGTATATTCACCTTGACTAAGTTGCGCATGGATGGTAGGTACTTGTTTTTATTTTTTAAAGGCCTCTTCCTTTTTTTTCGGCAAGGGGCACACGGGCTAAAATATTCAATGACGCCGGGCTCTTGCCTAGCTAATTATGCTGCGCGGCTATAAAAGCTTCGTCACGAAATTAAAAGTTTGAAAATAAACCAACACGGATGACTGCAAAGAGAGAGAGAGAGAGAGAGAGAGAGAAAGTATTGGCTAGTCCCTGTTAGGTGGCTTGTATTTCACAAAAGCTTTTAATCCAGAGGCTTTTCGAATACTTATACAATTCTCAATATCAATTTTTGAGGAATGGTCCATGTGCTTAGCCTCTTCCAAACTTTTATCACTTAGCATTTAAAAAAAAATTTCAATAAATTCTATACGCGTTACCTTATGAAATTATATTTTGGGAAGAATTAAAATAAAAAATATTTTCAGTATTGGTATTGACTTTCACTGATTTACTTTTCACGTCTCTTGAATAGTTTCAAAAGAAAAGAAAACCAACGAAGATAAACTATCTTGTATTCCTTACTCGCTTCGTAGCTGTCTATCTGTTTGCTTGTCTCTTAGCAAATGAATCAACTGGGAGAGACAGCGAGAGAGACGGAGGTATCGCAACGTCGAGAGAGAATATATTTGAAAATCGTCAAGTTTCGTTTCAGCCAAGAAAATTTCTATCTATCTATTTGCGCTAACTTCTCGAAGCATCGGGCGTCGACCGGAACCAATTAAGTTGCCGTTGCCGTTGCGGCTTGGCAGTTGAAGCCAACTAAATTACCGGCACCAACTCAATCCGAGGCCACTCCGCTCGATTACTTAAGCTTCCTTTCCATTCTTCGTATAGTGGCAGCGAGAAATACACGTGGTACCACGTTAATTACCTAGTCGATGCCTTTGACTGGAAATGACGAACGTAGTATATATACTAAAGAGAAGGTCTTTTTGAAATACGTATTAAAATGTATAGAGTTGAAAAGTCTCTTTGCGTATATTATTTATTTACACGTAATATCAGATTGGTACCATTCACGAATATTAATACACATGACATACGCCATATTGAAAGATACATAGTGTGTATCTGAAAACACGTTAATACAAAATGTCAACCCCGATATCTCTCTCAATGGGTATGAAAAGTGTATCCCACTCGAGTTTCCAAGCTGGGATTATTTCGAAAGAATTCTCATGGCGTATCTACTGTAGGCCGTATCTACATGTATCTTTACTGTAGAAACGGCGACAGTCGGGAGAGACTCGAAGCCAGAACGGACAGACCACAAAGTCCCCAAACTACTCGGAGCTCCATTGGTAGTCGAGGTCTGTCTACTAAATATTTCAAAGGTAGCAGGCTTCGATTCCCACTGGGAACAAACCGAGACACGAGCCAACAGATTAGTGCCACTTGCGAAGCCTCCACGAGCATCTATGAACACGTGTACTTACGTTGATAACGCTTGTATTGTATATAACACTGAGACTGATAAGAGATCAGTATTACCTGTACAACAATGAAAGACGTAACTGTTCATAGAGGCTTTTTTGCGTGAATTCTTTACCTCCTGATTGAAATTCCCTAACCGACAGGGGTCATTATTAAGAAATTGATTTTTTGATAAGCATGTCATATCTTCATTTATTGATATAGGGAGATTGATTTTTATTTGAGGAAAGACAGGGTGTTGTTCAAAAACCAGGCAGGAACGTGACGGATGAGCTCCTCGGGATTATCAGATGGTTAGGCCAGGACCACAACTTTGTGGTCCTTGTGTAGGTCGCCGGATGGTGGCTGAGGTGGGTGTGTTGGGGCCACGAGCCAAACATAGTTTAACTGGAATTGCCGCTAATAGAGTCATTCGTCATAGGTGGAGATGGGGTAGAATTAGAGGGCGTGCGAGTGATTAAGAATGAGTGGGGGACCATGTTGGAATGGTATATAGGCCACCCCTTTATTTTCCCTGAAGAAAATTGCTCGAGTAATTTCCGTGAAAAATGTCGGGATTAGAATAGGACTGTTAAGCCTTACTGCACCCTCTATGGGTTCCCTAACTCACAGCCATCTAGAGCTTTATGGGATTTCTATGCTTTTGCAAAAACCGCACCAATGTTTCTTCTTGTAGTCTTAGCTCAGCGTACTATGACTTTTTATTTCTTCTTCTCGCTTCCTATCTTTCCAGGGCCGGAGAGGGTGGTTTGGCAGCTACGAAGGAGGGACTGAGCGAGCCTCCGTGTTTGTTAGTAAGGGGCTCTTAGAAAGGAGTTGGGTCTTTGTTAACGGTGTGCCACCCCTACGTGCACATCAACGTCGTTCATCTTCCTCGACTTTACGTTTTCGGGTAATTGTGTGTGTGTGGTAAGGGGTGGGGGGGGGCTGATACCCGTGGTCGAAGAAGTTGAAAGAAGTCAAAATCCAACTGGCTTTTAGTACTTAGGGGTTGATATTTCCCGGTGGAATTACTGGACACTGCGGGTGCTCGGTTATTGGCTGTATGATTCAATCTACAGATCAAACGGAGGTTGGCTATATACTGAGACACCAGAAGAGGGGAAGACCTGTTGAGATGCTATTGGTATTTCTGAATTGTCAAAGGACAATTATTGGCTGATCGTACAATTTTTATGTAAAAAGAAAAAGAATAAAGAATGTAAAGTAACTTTTTATGAAATCAAAAAAAAAACCGAATAACCGACACAATCTGTTTTTTTTTACTTTTCCACTTGTATACACAGGAATTTTAATTAACGAAGTGAATATCGAGTGGTATAATTGAAAAGTCAAAACGGCTGATAATTATTATTTGGGTTAAACTGACTAACGTTAATACAGAGATCATCCTGTATAGTCGCGCGTAAATGGTGTGCGATGGCTAATATTTGCGATTTGGCGAATCGTTAAAATCGCCAATGCGCAACCGTGCTTCCAAGCTTCGGATATATGCGTGGCGGTTACGGTGGCCGCAGCGTAATAACGTGTCGGCGTGGGTAATAATTTTGGAAAATGAATATTTAGGCGTAACGCCTATCGATTTGACGAGAATCGGCGTTTTAACGAGAAACGACAATACGCTCGGGGGCAACGCTGTACATTCATTTAATTATAATAAATGAAATTTCATTAATGCCTGTCGCACGCGCCATGGAAATCATTGTCAGGTTACATTCTGATTCAATGCGATTAAAAATACTAGTTTGCCATGCACTCCCTGACGTAATCCAGTATTAGCCCAGTTGCCAGCCAAATGCTTCCTCTACCCCCTTTGCAGCCGTATAGAGTGTCATGAGCTCCATTACACTCTCACTTTGGCTGCTTACCAGAATCACTTGGAGAAATTCCGTTGGGGGTTTTCAGATTGTTTCTACCCCAGGTTGCCGCCAGACTGAAAGTTGTAGGAACGACTACATGAAAACTCGCCTTGTACATTAAGCGTTGAAAATTATAGTTACAGCGTCTGACTATACAGGCTTGGATATCAGATATGCTAGACCGTGACAAACATTACAACTCTAGGATCAGTTTTCGCCGGCGACTTCCGGCGATAATTTTGAAAAATTTTCCGTAATTAAGTTTACCAAAGGGAATTTCGAATAATCCTTAAATTTTAACGCCATGCTGAATTATTTAACGGATTAACTTGAGTAATTCGAAATTTTTTCAAAGTCATGAAAAAAATAGGCTAGAGGTGAAAAGTGAAAAGTATCGAATTGACGGATAATACAAGGATGGACGCGTGGCGGTATTCAATGTCGCAAGAGAAATCGGTTTAGAGAGCGGAAAAGAGCTGCTTTGATCGCGTTACCGGCTCAACCCCTAGAGGTTAGATACGAGCTGGGCACCTTCCCTGGTAAACTCAATATTTCGTTCTTCTCTTACCTTACCTCACCTTACCAGGCTTTAAGCTATTACCTTCCCTTACCCAATATGACCTTATTTTATTTCAGCATGAAATTTATATTTCATGCATGAGAACGCATTATGCCAGTTGCGGTTAAATTTGTGGCTGGCCTTAAAGGACAGTAACCCCTTATATCGCGACGTACCACACTCAAACCCTCCTCGCACCGTTTATTGCCTCCTGAAATTTCATCACGATATTTGAACTCTCGCATCAAATAGACATAGACCAACGAGTCGGGATGATTCTTCTGTAAAGTCCGATATAGCCCAAAACGATTCGTATACGATCATCCCATTGGAATACCCGTTTCCAGGATTGACCTTCTACAATTTCACCAACGTGTTCACCTGGACTTCGTTTCACGAAGAAATATCCGATACTGGTGAAAAGAGATAAAGAGATAAAGAGTGCGAGAGTAGGAGAGTATCTATAAGCAGATATCGCAGATACCTGTCCGCCCCGTCTATTGGCTTTTGCTGGTCTCACGATACCGCTGACATTTTCCCGTCGAATGGTTACACACGTATGCGATATATAAGGTCCATGTATACCTATATACACAAGGTATACATGAGCCAACCGTGAAAAGTGCAGCTTGGCATTTTCTATAGAAAACCGCACCAGTTGGATTCCACGGAATTCTCGGTTCTTAAATGTATAGTAACTCGTATGTGGTATAGGATGTACCGACAGCACGTAGGTCGGTAGGTGCAGGATGAAGGTTGGTA